GTTATCGTTCTATTTTATTTAATAATTTATCTCATCTTAATATCTCTCCTATTAATTGTTACACTATTCTTAACTCAACTTCTCTCTATATAATATCTTTAGTTATTTCTTTCATTCATTCAGCTGGTTTTTTTATTTAACGATGTTTACTGTAATTTTATTGTAATTTTGTTGATGTAAGATCAATTGTACTATTTTTATTATTATTATTATTATTTTTTCTTTCTTTTCTCGTTTTATTTAATTGTTAAGCTNTTTTTTCTTTTCTCATTTTATTTAATTGTTAAGCTATAATAATACTTTGTATTGAAAGCTAATAATAAAAAAAAAAAAACTTGCAAATTTATATTGCCAAATTGCGATATATTACATGATTTACCTCAACAGATATTGATGTAGATATAACACTTTTCTTTTTGAAAGTTCTTTTTTTCTTAATTACTTTTAGCTGAAGCACACTCAAATATACACACTAACACAAAAATATTACGAAGATACAGTTTNACATTAACACAAAAATATTACGAAGATACAATTTTTAAATATAAAATATTGTGTAATGTTTGGTTTAATTGTAATCTCTTAATGTATTGTTCTAAATATAATATAGTCTATTATTTTAAAAGCTAGAAGTAAAATATTTTTGTAATGTTTGGATTAATTGTAATTCCCTAAATTATTTTTACNAATGTATTGTTCTAAATATAATATAGTCTATTATTTTAAAAGCTAGAAGTAAAATATTTTTGTAATGTTTGGATTAATTGTAATTCCCTAAATTATTGTTACTAGACCAGGAAATAAATATTTATAAACACTTTTGAAAAACGATTGTATTATGAATTTTGTAAAAAAAAGAAAAAGAAAATATTTTAGTATATAAGACGAAATTGAATGAATTGAAATGGAGAGAAGACTTTGGAAGTACCGAAGGTAAAAAAAATTAAGAGAAAAAAGAAAATCAGAAAAATCCAGAGAATCAAGAAAAACCAGAAAAATATTATAGTCGATTAGTAATTTTTATTATTATATCGTTTACGGTCGTCATTTGTATTGTCACCGTTGCCCGGGACTCTCCTCTCTTGTGACAGAGCCTAAAGGTGTGTATACAACGCAAAGTTATGACGTAATAGGAGTAGTATAATATTATAATGTTCTAAAAATAAAGGAATGTAAAGAGAATGTTACAACTAATTAATCAAATAATTATGTTTATTTACAGAAATAATATTATATGAACTTAATTATAATTTTAAGTTAAAAAAAAATACTAGTGATTAACATACTATCATAAAAACGATTCGATGCGAATCTGTTAAATTTCACAATGATATTATATATTTGTAATTTCAATATTTCTAAGCTTTTAAATTTTAATGAAATAATGATGATAAAATTATTTGTTTAATTGATAATAAAATTTTTTTTTTAAATTATGATTTTTACACTTTGATTACCTATTTCTAAGGTAGAACAATCATTGGGACTATAATTTAATATAAGATAATTTAGAAGCTTTAATTTGATATAGAATAAAAGTTGCCAGACCGAAACATTCTCAAATTTTGATTTGAAAAAAAATTTTTTTACATGTATAGGTAAACCCTAACAGTACATAGATTTTTCAATGTTTTTTCATAAAAAGTATAATGAAAAATACCTTATTGTCATTTATACCAGCGGTTCTTAACCTTTGTGTAGTGGCAACCCAAGATATTTACCAAATTTTTCATGCGACCTTTTTATAAATAATGTTCAATGGCAGAATAAAAAATAACTATTGGGTACTCTTAATTGAATATTTTTTTTTACTCATATTACTTGTACTAATAACAGGTCATAATATTAATTACATTATATTTACAAATAAATATTTCTTAATTTAAATATTTTTTTGTAAATAATGAAGAATTTAATGACTCCCTGGTCTTGATGTTGCTTCACCAAAAGCTTATTTCTTGATTTGGTTTTGATTGTAGTTAATGTCGAAAATCCGGATTCACATAAATATGTTATTGCAAAATGAACTAATTTCTTTACTGCTTCTTCGTAAAGATTAGGATACTCATTGCTTAAAGGTATCCAAAATTGGTTAAAATTTTTAGTATTAAAGATTGTTCTAATAATTTATCTGACGATAATTCTTATAGTTGGCTCTCATTTAATAAAGATAATTCATGTTTTTCACAGGGTACAAAGGGGTTAAGAATCCACATATTGTTTAGTCGAATATCACGAGATGGTGGGAAATACTTTAATATTTTATTTTTTAATTTCGACAAAATACTCAAATTTAACTCATTTAAAAACGAAAAAATATCTGAAATATACACAACTTTTGCCAGCCAAATTATACCTTGAAAATGGTCGGATAACTGTGAATTTTTAGCTTCGATGCGAGGCTCAGAAGTTATTAATTTTACCATGATGTTTTTTTTTTTTTTTTTTTGTGTCTGTTACCACTTTTTCTGAGCTCTCACTGGATCGATTTCTTTCAAAAAAAAGTCAAAAGATCGCAAATCGTATCTAGTTGAAGACATTACCCTTAAAAATTGAAAAAAATTCCATCGTTCCCCGCAAATAGGGGAAATATCCAAAAAGATTACAAATTTAAAAATCTGTAAATTTTGTCATTTTTTTACTTTTTTTTCTTAAAACATTCATAACTTTTTCAAAAATAAACCAATCAACATTTTTTTTTTTAAACTAAAACCTTAGATATTTCCCATTCATTTGATATCATTTTTTTGAAAATCTAACACTTAACCTGCTCATTGGGGGGGGGATTTAAAGTAGCAAATTTTTTACAAAAACTAACTTTTTCAACTTAATTTTTGAAAATGTTCCGGAAATACTGCGTCCTTTATACATATATTAAATTAAAGCTTATTTTATGTACTATAAAATGAAAAAAAAAAAATTTGTCCCGACACTTTATTTTCTGCATGTAAACGGCTGCCGTAGTTTAAAAAACGCCATTTTTGTGTTAAAATTTTCGATTATAAATTTTCAACTTAATAATGCTATAACATTTTGAAAAATGTATATATCAGCACAAATTATTTTTTTCTAAATACATTATAAGTACATCTTTCATTTGACATACTTTTTATTAAAATTGGACAATTTCCCCATATATAGGGGGCGTTCAAAGCTTGAAATATTGTATAAAAAAAAGAACTTTTTCAACTTAATTTTTGAAAATGTTCCGGAAATACTGCGTCCTTTAAACATATATAAAATTAAAGCTTATTTTATGTACTATAAAATGAAAAAAAAAATTTGTCCCGACGACCTATCTACTATGTGCAAATTGCTGATATGCATATGTGCAGATACCAAGTGTAGAAAGGAATTTAAATGAAGAAAAATATCAAGTTTAACAATTTTTAAGAGATTATAAAATAAATAAATAGATTAAAGTCAGTGCTCTTATTATATTTTTTTGTATAACAAACGATCAAGCTAGCTGGATACAAGGTAAGAAATTCTATTTCTAAGCATGTCATAAAAAAATTAAAGATGACTGATAATAAGTCATAAATAATTTATAAATTATAAATAATATTTTTCGTGATATAATAATTATTGTTATATTTAAATTAATAGAATTGCTTCTAAATGTAGATAATTTTAAAAATTATTGTTAACAACTATTTTATTGTCATTTTAATCGCAATTGGGTGTGGGTAATGTAAATATTTTATTTGTATTTATCATTCATATTAAAAATAATTTAGCAATTAAGGATGTGCGCCCAACAATCGAACAGTTTCACACATTGTTTCCTATACAGGGTGTTTAGTAGGACAGGAAACGGGTTTCTATTGTTCTCATTGCTTGTAACAATGAGAACAATAGAAACCCGTTTCCTGACTTACTGAACACTCTGTATACTACAATCGATGAAGAATATCAAGAGTCATAAATTCCTCCCCTCCAATCATTGCATATTTCATAGTAGAATTAATTTTATTAATACTAATTTAATACTGTACTCTATTCCATTTATTCATTTTAAACTATTGACAAATTATAAATTTAACATTCTTTGCATTCATTTAAATTCTATGACAAATCTATACCCTTTAATTTATTTCTAATTTTATGACTAAATAAATTATAGTCCCTTTTTTATTTATTTATTTTTTATGAAAGATCCATTTCAAATATATTCTTTCATTGACATCCTTATAGTGGACCTAATGATCGTTATAAATTATGAATTGATAATCAAAAAAAAAAAAAAAATTAAGGCAAATATAATAAAACTCAAACTAAAAGCATTATTTTTTCATAAATAGTAAATTCCACGGGCTAGTTATATATTTTGGAATTCACATTTTATTTCTCTCTTCTGAAAATCATTATAATATATCAAACATTTTTGGAAGCTCATCCTCATCAATGGCTAATTAATATTACTATTTTAGTTTTGTATTTTACTTCATTTTCAGTTTTTTTTCTTAGTTTTATTTACCCTACTGTCTAATATGTTTGTCATATTAAGAAATCAACCAGTAACATGGGCTCACTGATGCTATATATAAAGTATCCCAACGTGACTTACTAATTTTTACATTAGTTTATCTAGTCAAATGAGTTAATTATGGTGAAACACTCTATATATGTAAAATGTACTTTATGCAGAATCGAATTACTTTAGTTATAATTTTTATTTATATTTATATATATATATATATATATATGTATATTTTCTAAACTATTTACTTATTGTAAATTTTTTTTTTTACAGATTGTAAATTTCATAAATAAAAGAAAAAAAAAATTTATATTTTTAATCAGTTATGATAGTTAAGACGTATTTTAAAAAATAAAATTTTATCCTTGAAATTTCTTAAATGACAAAATTGTGTACATAAATAATTATTGCAATACTAAAATAGAAACCAAGTGTTTCTCTCAAAACTCATTTGAATGTATTAAAATTATATAAAATGAAAAATTAGCATTATCGATTATAATTACTTTAATATCGTTATACTATTAATAATAAATCTACTTTACAAATTTATTAGTTATCAAAATTTTACTTATTTATCTCAAAAAAAAAAATGATATTTCAAATATTCATTTTAAATTTTTATAGTTTTTGGATTATCAATCAAATTTGTATGGTTTTCTGTAGTTCAAAGTTAGATTCAAGCTTAAATATACAGTATGTTTTTGATGTATATAATATTATTCGTCAACAAGAAGGATGGAATTCAAATAAGTCATATGGATTCGTGGACAATGAAAACAATTATCAATATTTTGCTAAGGAAGATATTTTAGCGAAAGTGGAAAAAAAAAATTTTTATATACAAATACCAATTATAAACAAATTAATAATTTTTAGATACACTGAATCTTTGATAGTATTTAGACATCTATTAAACATTTTTGTTCAGAAATGTTACAAATATAGGAATTCCAACGAAAAAATGTTCATTTATTGCTCTAAGGAGTTACGGAAAACTGTAAGCAAATCAAATATCATGTTTCTAAAATTGTTATACGTTACTACTTTGTTAGATACTATAAATAAATCGTTATATAATAATTTTCAATTAAATGTAATAAGTATTGTTAAACAGATAGGGCTATTGTATGCTCTGACATTAAAAAATCATCTTGATTATGATGATATGGAAACGGCTAATAAAGTAGTAGGAAATGCTAGAAAATTAGTTTTTAGTACATTAGACAACAAAACATTAGTCGAAATTCACCAAATAAGTAAGTCCACGTTACATCATTATTCAAATTCAGTTAAAGCAATATTATTAGTCCAGTATGGTATAGACCTGAAACGATATAGAAATACTAACACTATTGAAGAACATAAAGAAGCTTTATATTTGTTTTATAATCTAACAGTTAAAGAAGAATATTATGATTTGGGCTTTGACAAATTGATTGTTGATGATACTAAGACGTATGTTTTTATACTAAAAATTAAAACTCTACCTAAAAACTAGACTAACATAAGTTTCGTAAACAAATGTATAATAACCTGAAAATCATAATTTTTGGAATCCGATAGAATGGTCAATAGTAGTATAAGTAAAATATTTTTTTAAACATATTTTAGGTGGTCGTAATAATAGCATTTATTCTAATACATATAAAAATACGGCATGTAAAATTATTTTACGTTTATTTAACTTATTAAGTCAAACCTAACACGTACATCAAGATGGTTGAATATTTAAATTTGAAGTCAGCTTTTTTTTATTTATCACATGAGATATCCTAATTACAATAAAAAAAAATATATAAAGTTCTTTTATTATAAATATGATATTTTCTAAAAAAAAATTATTACGAAAATTTGATTAAATTAAAAAAAAAACCCAGCACAGGTGGGTAGTGGTACAGTGGTGACGTGGCATAGTTGGAATAAAAAATAAACACATCTTAGTAAAATAATACCTTCTCAACTTCGCATCGAAGCTATAAGAAGTGAACTATGTATATAATATATGTTTAACCTAGTATCCAATCTTAACAGATTTTTTTCATCAATTAGTTGTTAAAGGAAAATTTTATTTTATTCCTTAAATATTTCTAAACATATAATAACTGATCACTAATATTATTTATAACTAAAAATACTTTTAAAATATGAATTTAAACCTAAAAAATATTTAACTCAAAAAGTTAATACAAGTAAAACAAGAATATTAAATATTAGAGCTACGATTTATCGATAGTATTGCTTGGACAATCCTAATTACAATATATCCTAATTACAATAAAAAAATGTTCTTTTATTATAAATGTGATATTTTCTAAAAAAAAAGTTATTACAAAAATTTGATTAAATTTAAAAAATATGTGAACTATGTACATAATATGTGTTGAACCTAGTACCCAATATTAACAGATTTTTTTCGTATCTCCATCAATTAGTTGTTAAAAGGAAATTTTATTTTGTTCCTTAAATATTTCTATACATATAATAAGAATTTAAACTTAAAAAATATTTAACTCAAAAAGTTACAAGAATATTAAATATTACAGCTACGATTTATCGGTCGTATTGCATGGACGTGTTTACCTCGTGTACGTTTGTACCCTTGAGACTAGACTGTCGTAACGCATTCACCTCACCCCGCTTACCGCTCGCCAATAACTGTATTCTCCTGTATAATTTTTATTTTTGGTTTTCGTACCCGTACACGCGTGCGTGTCATATATATATAACGTTCCCCCGCCCACAAAACACGGCTATACCTAGTGCATGATACGTTTACGTAGTTATGTCGCCTTACTATATGTATATATACATATATATATATATTAACACGCTTTATTCTCATTAAGAGATATAGAATATATTCATTCCGATTACAAAGGATGATTCCCGTATCGTCATTTTTCGTCCATGTTCTGGGAGTGGGTAATTTGCGCGCCTTCTGCTTTCCTAGGATGTGGTAGCCGATTCTCAGACTCCCTCTCCGGAATCAAACTCTGATTTCCCGTTACCCGTTATAACCATGATATTGATAGTAACTTCTATCATAACAAGAAACTAAAAACTGAAAAATAAATATAGTTTAAAAGCGTGTTTCTTAGTTTTTTTTAACTATGTTTATATTGTAAGTATTCCTAGCACTTTAACATATAGTATTGGAATCATACGTCTTGACGAAAGTATCTCTGAAGAAAACTTTTGCGAAGGTCATGAATGTTGAAGGATATTTGCGCTATATTCAGAGATTAAGCTACACGATATAACGCATATAGTATTACTTGTTTAACCAGCGTAGGCTACTCAAACAGTTAGGTTATAACGACATTTAATTTATTTTTACAAGGTAGTGCATCCCAATCTGTTTATGACATTTTATGATTACGGTCCATCCAATAATTTTAACACATTTATAAACAATGTTCATTAATAAATATTTTTTAACATAGGAGTATACAGAATAAAATTATTGGTCGCTTTAAGAATTATAAAAGAGAAAATGAAGTAGACAATTTTGAAGAAGAAGAAGATCAACTACCACCAGATTCTAATGATGGACAATTTAACAATCTAAATTAATATACGACGCATGGTTTGAATAATAAACGTTTTTTTTTTTACATTAAAAAAAAGATAAACTGTTTAATAATTAAGTTAGTTACTATTTTATTCAATGTATTTTTAATTAAAAAATGTTAACATAAAAAAAATTTATTTTTATTAATCCAGTGATGAAACTGCAAATATTAATTATGACAGCATTGGAAAATACAATTTTTTTAGTTTCAAACAATTATGTCAACAGTTTTCAATTAATTTTTATGTTCTTTTTGTTTCAATATTAAAAAATATCTGTTTTTGAGTTGTTTTTAAAAAAATATTATATATTTTTTAAATATATATATTTATATTATAAAAAAATTATTTATTTTTTTTAAATTAATTTTATTTATGTAGATTGGGGAAATATCTAATAAAGAACTTAAAGACTATTGATTCATTGCTTTTACATACAAAGTGATTTTTTATCATATCCCACTCAATTACTTACAGAATAAATATATTTAAACATTTTTTTTTGTTATCTTTAGTTACACATTATTCTTGAATTATTAACTGTATAATACTTTTTAAGTTCATCCCTTATGCCTTGTAAGGGAGTCAACTTTGTTTTTTTAAATGGAAACCCATATTTTTAATTTAATGAAATGTTTGAGTTTTTAATTCAATAGTAAATGGCATTTGAATTTTTAATATAACTTTATTCGTTTATTAGATATAAACATTTAAAGTTTCAAATTTTTGAGTTTATATACATGATTAATACACAAGGGATTACAAATACAGGTATTTTTCGTATATTATTGTTTTAAGCTTATTTTAAAAATTATTTTGAACTTTTTAGTTCGATGTACTTTAAAAGCGTGTTTTTTTAGTTTTTAGCTTCGATGCGAAGCTGAGAAGGTATTGGTTTTACTATGATGTGTTTTTTTACAAAACACATCATTACAAAATCTATGACTGATTTTACTTGTAAAGATTATAAACACTGTATATATTTTAATAGTATAATTTACAATTTGTCTTTTTTTAATTTTTTTATGTTTGTTGAACAAGTACTTTCTTTTGAAAGAATATATTTTATTGAGAGTTCGACACCAATATTTCTTAAATCTTCCTTTGGTGAGGCCAAAACAAGATTAAAAAATATTTACACACATATATATATACAGGGTGATTTTTTTATCATAACCCACTCAATTACTTGCAGAATAATAATAATTTAAACATTTTTTTTTTTTATTATCTTTAGTTACACATTATTCTTGAATTTTTAACTATGTAATACTTTTTAAGTTCATCCCTTATGCCTTTTTTTTTTGTGTCTGTTACCCTTTT